AGACTGCACTGTTCTCAGTCATTAGAGGTATGTGTATAAAACACAGAATATTTACCAGAGAGCTTCTCTTTTTTAACACAATGAATGGTGATATACTATATATATCGTGTTTTTGTTTTTAGTAGACATCCAAGCAAAAGAGAATGACTCCCTGTCACAATTAGTGTAATTAAAGTAAAAAAATTGGTTGATTGCGATTTCACTTTTTTAATGTTAGTTAGTGTCTAATGTTGCTGTTTGAGCATAAACAATATCTGCAAAGTTACGAAGCTGAAAGTTCAATGCAAACGGAGATATCCTCTTTTAAAATTCTGGCAGTTTAATGCCTACAAAAACGGCTCGTAGGGACTACAACGAGTTACTTCCCGGGTTCGTGACATCACAAACCCTGATAAACCCGCCCTCGGGAAAAGGCAGAAAAGGAGGCGAGGCCATGCTGCGCTGTTTTAGAGAAGAAGAAGAGAAAACTAGAGGTGCAGGTAAAAATCTGTTCATACATGAATCGCGATTCTGTCTTCTAACGATTCTAATGGATTCACAAGTTTCAAAATCAATGTTCTAAAGCAGAGGTTCTTAATACTGTTCCTCGCGTTCCCCTGCTCTGCACACGCTCTGCATCTCTCTCTATCTAAAAGTATGAGACAACAACAAACAAAAAACATAGGCCTACCATTAAAAGCTGTTCTTGCACAGGTTCTGCACGATCCTCTTCAATAATATCCTCTGCTTCTCAATCGGGCTCAAACTGATAAGCGATATTAACAACGCCGAGGTGAGGGGCGGGACGTTTAGACACGCACTAGAGCCGGTTTAGCCAATCACAACACACTGGGCTAGCTAACCAATCAGATCCCATCGCCTATTTCTGAGGGCGGGACTTCATAAAAACAGGAAAAGATCAACCCGTTCCTCAGAGAAGGGACAGAGCGGTGCGCAATAAAAATAAATTATGTGAAAAATAATGTGTTTTTTTTTTAAACAAAGCATTAACACATGTCAGACTGCATCCCATAAACACAATCAAGCCTAGAAAAAGAACAGTGAACCACCCCTTTAAAGTAAAAAAATTATGTCAAGCTTTTCTTGTGCTTTCTTTTTTCTTATTTGGCAGATGTGATGACCAACGTCCCGGCAGCAACAGAGTTGGACTTGAGGAATGCAGTTGGGAGGCATTTTAAACAAGAA